GAGTTCCCGAAGGGAGGTGGGCCAATTTCTCACCAAATCTGGCAATGTGCTCTGACTTTGCTTTAGCGATTTCTCGCTTGAAGGACCTGGAGGCTGAATTGTATGCTTTTTTACGTTCGCCGATAGTCACATCACAGGATGTCACCGCTTCTGCCCAGGCTTTAAAGCATTCACGCTTACGGCGCAAAGCCGCTTTGCAGGAACGCCTAAACCAAGGCTGGGACTTGCCACCGACCGGCACCGCAGAGAATGGTAGGTAGAGAGGTAGGAAGTATCAGCCGGGGAGGAAATCTGAGTCTCGGTAAGAAAGAGCAAGGCCGGCTTCGCAGTCTCTAAATGGTAGTGGACTGCGTTGATATTAGAATTGAGCCCCCTAACATTTGTGAAGTCCACAGCGAGCGTGGACGGGGGTGCCTTTGTTGAACGGATATTCAGTACCTAAATTGTTGATAAGTAAACGTTATCTCATAGATTATGGATTTTAGAAAGTATAATCTTGAAAATATTCTAAAAATATTCTAAAACACGGCATCTATCAAAATCGTGTACACTCCATTCCCTATTAGTGAGACTGCAAAGTCGGGGCCCTTTAATACATCCGATACTAAGGAAACGAGCAATACAGATGGAAAAAATCATTAGGTTGTTTTCGTCAATTTCTTACTATAAAACATATTTCAGTACGAAAGTTATGTAACCTTTATATATATATATATATTATTTAATTAATTATATATATATATAATTAAAAGCGTAAACAAAATGTAAGCAAACATCGCACACTTGAAGCCAAAATGAGCCCTTTAGTTTCTACACTTATAAATTGTAATTTAAGATTATCGTTTCCCATAATATCCAATAACATAAGTGTCACTTAGATTTAAGAACTCTTAAATAAGTCAAGTTAGTTTTTTGTTGTCATGCAGGTAGACAGTTTTTTAGAATGGACTGATAAAGTGCTAAATAAGATTACATTAGCTTTCCGTAGAAGACTGTGCATCAGTGCTTTTCCCAAGTGAGGTGTCGATCTATTATTACTCCTATATATTTAGTACTTTCCGTGTATTCGAATACATACAGTAATATATTTATAATCGTATCGTATCATGTAAAATGTAGCTCACGTCCGTGTATGTAAATGTGAAACCTGCATCAACATTTGACATTGCGTATATTTCGCGTATTTGCATACATTCTGACAGGCAGACTGATGACGTCATAATTACATGCGAATTCCTAATGCACACAGTGATAGTGCATAATTATGAATTTTAATTAGTCTGTGTTTAGAATTATTATTTTAAGGTCTGAGCCTCAGATTTCTATATCTGTTTCATGATCATTTGCTAATCTAATAGGCTACTTGCCTATTCCTGTCATCCGGTCATCAGCGTCCTGTGCCTGACATACGCCGGTTTTCTCACGATGATTTCCTTCACCGTTTGAGCGAATGTTAATTGCGCACATAGACAGAAAGTCCTGGTGTACAGCCGGGGATCGAACCTATGAACTCAGGAGTGAGAGTCGCACGCTGTAGCCACTAGACCAACACTACTCTTTACGTCCATACATTTTTATCTTATATAATTAATTATTAAATATAGATAAATAGACAACTAAAACAACTTTAAAAAGTTTGGTCCTTGTGGCAGTGTACCTTTAATGCTTGCATAATTTCCTCACTGTATTGCGATACTTATTCTTTGAGCAAGGAAAGCATCAGTTCTGGGCTCACCGGTACTATCTAGCTAAATCTTTATTTAGCGCCTGTGCACTTGAACCCCACGGCCTGAGAGTCTACTCCAAAGGGAACAAAATCAAAGTTGGAGGAAAGACTCTTATATTTTATCTGTTTAGTATTTTCCTTGTCCACACAAGTATGCCAATTAATTAATTTAGTTTGAAATTGATGAATAAAATTATCATAGGATATAGCAATAGTACCTACACCTCCTAGTATAGTAACAGTAAAATAAAATATTAACTTATTTGGAAAAATTACGTGGAATTGACTGTGTCTAACAATAATGTGGCTGAGATTTGAGGATTTTGAGGCTGATTTTTTTTACAGTCGCGTTATGATCTGTAAACATCATAACTAGTATTGTTATGATGGCGCATGAATAAAAAAATTCAATTTATTAAAATAAAAATATTAATATACTAACCTAACCTTACCGAACAATATTAATAATAGGTTTTTTGGACAGTTCCGGCGCTACGGGAAATGCAGTCCCTCCGCCCTTGCGTACCAAAGCACAGGCATGTGCTTTGTTACAGCGGGTGGGGGCTGCTCTTTCTCCGCGCCTCCGATTTTTTATATACACTCTAGGGGTAAGGCAGACAAGACCACGTGGATAGTGGGGTGCTCTGATTCGGTTTTGGGTACTTTCTGGTTTTTTTTTTTGCAAAAAAGGTCATGCGCCATCATAACAACACTAGTTATGGTGCTGAGAACTCATGACAAAGTCATAAAAAAAAATCAGCCTCAAAATCGCTGGTGCCGCGATACGAAATATTTACCCTTGTATCTAATATTTTGTCAAGCACAGGTTTTTGTTAATTTACATATAATTTAATTAAAAATAAGAAAAAAAAAGGTTCTTGGTCACACATTTTGTGTGTTATTTGTAGAACAGGAAACGTGAATCTAATGAATTGCTCTTATCTTAGAACATGATTCATTCACTATTATTACCTTATATTATTACCTTAAGACACGTTTCTTGCACAAATCATGAATAACAGCTAAACTTGCAAATTGCCTTGCGATTTTTACCATCAACGGTTTTCACGTTGATAGTAGTACATATATATATATATAAATATAATATCTCTTTATAAATTATATTCCAAGTTAAGGAAGAGGTAAAATTAAAACTAGAGGTAAAATAATTTTTTTGACAATTGCGAGTTCATAGCAGTAGCGGTAACAATGACAATTTTTATACATAATTTATTTTCCACTAAAATAAATATAACATTTTGGAAACTATAACAGTTTCAACACATCGAAAATAACAAGTTTCTATATCAATCAAGAATGAATCGAACTGTTACCAAAAAGCACTAAATCATAAACGCTTTGAATTCGATATGACGTCGTAAATCGGATGATAGCATTAAAATATGTGGACATAAATATCGTACGATTATTGTAGTAAACAATGATATCGTTTGAAATGTTACGTTTGTGGGTGATATTCAGTCAGCTGACGGCACAACTGCGGTTGGCGTCCGCTGACTAATGTTTGTGAATGCACAACAATTTTTGCTCTTACCAACTGATAACCAAACGTGGCACACAATTTAAGTAGTTTTAATAATAGTTATGGGTACCCAAAACGCTTTGTTCAGTAATTATTAAGCCCTGAGTACTACGCTACCTCGATATGATTTGGTTTCATTCACTTAATGAGAGAGGCTTGCTGTCAGTAGTAGGGTAATGGAAACATTTAGTGCCCTGCCTTACCGGGACGCCATGGCGACGTGGCCAGCGACGTTACCATGGCTATGACTGGCGTCTCTGCGTCGCCAGACTAAGTCGCCAAATCGCGCCGCTAATGCATTCAGTTCTGTCTCGACTCAAAAATCAAAAATAAATGATCAATAAAATTATAATAAATTTAATTATTATTTTATTTAATCATTTTAAATCAAATTTTAAAATCATTATTATGTAAAATATTAATAATTAGGAGAGCAGGAGCCTTACTAACAATTTCTTTCAGGATACCTAAGTAAAAAACATAATTAAGAGACTATGAAAAAGCAAAAAAAGTGCTATAGTGTGCTAATACGCCAGGTAACCAGCGTCGCCAGTGGCCGCATGCGGAGCGGTCGACGTCGCCAGTCGGTAGCCAAGTGAGTTAGCCGGCATACATCTTAATATGAACTAGTTGGAGACGTCGCTGGCCACGTCGCCATGGCGTCCCGGTGAGGCAGGGCACTTAACAACGTGAACAGTTAGTTTGATAATCTTTACCTTATATTACAAAGACATATAGTCTACAATACGCTTTCTCGCTTCTCTTCACGAAACATTATATATAGCATTGAAGGTGTTAAAAAAGCAATTTATTACAATGGATTACATTAAGTTTATGTTATGTATTTAATATTAATACACGACATCCAACGGACTTTTTTCCAATCTTTCCCGGCTATCTCTTTTATTTCATCTTCCCAGCTTTATGGTGGACGTCCTCTCTTTTTTCTTTCCCTTCCAAGTAAGGGTATTTTTGACCCACCTGTCATTACAAACGCAGGCAACGTGACCGGCCCATTTCCACTTAACTTTTTTCAGTGTTCCACGTAAACCATTGAAGGCGTTCCTATAAAATTGAAGAAATTCTAAATCCGACAATTTCCCACGAGTGTGTCTAACCAAGAGAACGCAAAGGATGGCGGTTTTACTGGCTTTCAGAAATAAAATACATATTTCCTAAAAAAATAGTACCTACTTCTCGTCTTGGCCTCGGATTTCTTTTAGATAGACAAGTAGGTAATCAACCTCTCGCTTCGATTTTTAGGTCTAAGTTAATATCGGTATATATTTCAAAGCAATAGCATACTTAAGATATTTGGTCGACTTACGACTTACTTAGATAGTGGCTCGAATAACGTATAGTTTTAAATACACAATGCTGTTTATACAATTCTTTGATTACCGAGCGTGTGAAAGATCTCACTACAGTATCAACAAATGCTATGAAAATTCGATTTACTATCGAGTTTTTGTATTTGCATTGCACAGCCGATCTGCAATGCAAACTCACTTATTACAAGCGAGCCCAAACCGTGTATACTTGGGGATGATTGATTTTCAATTGTAACGCTGACGTAAGCGGATTTCGCGCGATGCCATCAATGGACGCAAATTATGATACAAGCTAACACAATTTTGGTATTTACAATTTGAAATGTGTGCATTCATATTTTTATTTTATTTATCTATAGATATTGCAAGTGTAAAACATAATAGCAAGTATAGAACAAATATGGCCGATAAGATTTCCTTTGTTAATATGTCCCATGATAAGAGTGCATGTACACAGTACAATAAACCTGTCTCTGAAGTAAATAGATCTTTTTCGGAATCAGACATGAGTACTATCGGTGGAACCGAATACACAACGCCAACATCAACAAGGCACATGTTTGTTTCAACTCGCTTGAAAAGGAAAAGAGAAGATATTGATTTATCTACTGAACTATCTAATTTCAAAGAGGAAATAAAAAATATCATGACTACCATGATTAACGAGCATAGCGCTGAACTTAACAAAATCAATCCAACTCTAGCAGACATAAAAAATACTAACCACAACATTGAAAATGCATTTCTCATGGCGCAAAATGATGAGTATAAGAAAAAAATCGAAAAATTGGAACAACAATCACAGCAAGATCGGCTAAATATAGCAACACTGGAGGAAAAAATAGAATAAATGGCATGAGAAAGGCTAATTTTGAAATTAAAAGTGTGCCAAAAAAGATGAATGAAACAAAAGAAGACTTACTCGAAATGGTTAAGTGTCTGACATCAAACATTGGCGGCGCGAGATTAAAGATATTTCCAGGCAACGTGCTAAGAATGAAGATATAAAAAACTCGACTATCTAAGTTGAGACTACTTCGACGTTGCTTAAGAACGACATCATAAAAATGAGTAAAGCTTTCAATATAAAACACAAGTCTAAATTGTGCGCTAAACACCTAGGATTCCATACCAATGAAGATACACCGATTTACATATCTGAAAATTTAACGACAAAAGCATCTTGACTCCTTTATCGTGGAAAAACATGGTGAGATCTAAGGCATATAAATATAAGTGTTGTTTGATGATTTGCTGTTTTAAAAGAGTACCGAGAGTTTTTTACGCCGGCTTTTTCTCTCGGCCTACACCCTCTGTCTTCTTTGCCGATGAGTAGGGATGCCTTCAAATTTAATGACGTGGAATAAGTGATACATGTATCTTATGTTCCATAATAAACATTTTATTTTATTTTAAATATTGCTGGACTTCTAATGGTAAAGTATATCTAAGGAAAGATAATAATACGCCAATATTTTTACTCAAGACTGAAGCTCAAATACAGCAAATAATACAATTCTCCTGACTACTGCAGGTTTTATTAGTTTTTAAACTTACTTGTCACTTTATCTAATCGAATTAAGTTTTTTTTATATTTCGTGTGACGATCATGGCAAGCATGTAAGTTGAAACAGAAGCTGTCGATGCGCAGATGGGAAAATATTTTACCACACATGCTTTCATCTATTTTACGTAACTCTCCTCTTAATTATTCGAAAAAGAAAAGAGGTATACGGCTAGCCATCCTGTGGCAAAAGTCCTTTTGACATGAATGCATCTAGGTCGAATGGAACTTTTTAAAAATAATTTAAATGAAAAACTGCCTGGTTTGCCTTATCACAATAACCCTGACCAAGCTTACTCTTCATTATTTAACATGATTAATTCTCAGTTTAAGAAGGTTTTTACATCTAGATCAGTTTCTGTAAGTGATCGAGTTTTGTTTAGTGACTGGGCAACACCAGGTATTTTTAAAAGCAGAATAAGATTATTTGAATTATATAATGAAAGGAACCATGATCATAGTGAAAGGTTTAGGGAGTATGTTAAAAATTACTCTAAGACTTTTAAGAGAACCTGCGCTGCCGCAAAATCTTTACACATTAAAAACAAAATACAATCTTCTGTAAACAAAATTAAAACTACTTGGAATATTATTAATTCTGAAATAGGAAGAACCACAGTTAAGAATAATGATTTTCATCTTAAAATTAATGATAAAGATGTTAGGGCGGATTTGGAGGTGGCAACCGAGTTTGAATCTTTTTTCACTAATATTCCTGTATTAACAACTCAAACTTTGTTGTCGTCTTCCGGCTCCGCATACAACATACTTAAAGACTGTGTCGCAGAATGTGGGACAAGTTTTGAATTTACAGTTGTTAGTGCTAAGGACATTCTAGATGCATTTAAAGATTTAGAAGTAAAAAAGTCCACCGATCTTTGGGGGTTGTCAGTTCAAATAATATCCTCAATAATTGAATGTATTTCCCCATTTCTGGCAATTGTGTTCAACTCTTGTGTCGCATCTGGTGTGTTTCCGGACTTAATGAAGTTAAGCAAGGTGATTCCACTCTTCAAATCTGGTAGTACAACCGATCCTACGAATTTTCGCCCTATCTCAATTTTGCCTACACTGAGCAAAATTTTTGAGAAAAATAATTTTAAAGCAAATGCTAAAGCATTTTAACAGACAGAATCTTTTTCATTCCAAACAATTTGGATTTACTAAGGGTCGGTCTACTGCTGATGCAGGTGTGGAACTACTCAAAAATGTATTCGAGGCTTGGGAGAATTCACAGGATGCTTTAGGCATATTCTGTGACTTGTCCAAAGCTTTTGACTGTGTTTGCCATGACACACTTATCAAGAAACTACACCACTATGGCATTAGAAATAAGGCTCTTAGACTTCTCAGTTCATATTTAGACAATAGAATACAAAGTGTAGATGTTAATGGCAAAAAATCAAAAGGATCTGTGGTAACTATGGGTGTTCCGCAGGGTTCAATTCTAGGTCCTTTCTTATTCCTTATCTATATCAATGATTTACCTTTTTGTGTAAGGGATGATCACAAAATCCTATTATTTGCGGATGACACTTCGCTTGTTTTTAAAGTTAAGCGTCAACTTGAAAATTTTGACCAAGTTAATTTGGCACTATCTAAGGTTGTCCATTGGTTTAATGTTAATAATCTGCTTTTGAACTCAAGTAAAACTAAATTAATAAAATTTTCTACGCCTAATGTGAGGCAGTTAAGCACCAATGTACAACTGAATGGAGTAGAGTTGGACCCTGTTGAGTCAACTGTTTTTCTTGGCATTACTGTTGACGCCAAACTACAGTGGGGCCCACACATTAACAAATTGTCTGGAAGGCTCAGTTCAGCTGCTTATGCTGTAAGGAAAATTAGACAAATTACTGATGTGGATACAGCCAGAATTGTTTATTTCAGTTATTTTCATAGCTTGATGACGTACGGCATTCTCCTTTGGGGAAACTGTGCGGATATTAATACAATCTTCTTATTACAAAAAAGAGCTGTCCGCGCTATATATAACCTGGGTCCTAGAGTTTCTCTCCGAGAGAAATTCAAAGAGATAAACATTCTGACTGTAACTTCACAATATATTTTTGAAAATTTACTTTATGTTCACAAAAACGAACCTGATTTTGTCAAATTGTCTGATCTTCACTCCCGAAATACTAGGAACAAAAATAATTTAACAGTTCATGCTACTCGCCTTCATAGAATAAGCAACTCGTTCATGGGTCAATGTATACGCTTTTACAATAAACTTCCTATGGATGTTCGTAAACTTCCCCTTAAGAAATTTAATTTTTTTATTAAATCAAAATTATTAACTAAAGGATATTACAGGATATCCGATTATTTAAATGATAGAAACGCCTGGGATTGAGCTGCTCGCTTATACAGCTATCGCTTGTGTTTTTTTTAAGCTGTCTTTCACTTTTTTTTTTTTTGCATGTTGTACATATTTACAATCTGACATGTCTTGTGCTTTTGCATATGCATTTTATTTTATTCTATTGACATGTTTGTGCTTAGTGCATATTCATTTTTTTACATTTTTTTTTTCTCTACATTACTGACATGTTTTGTGCTTAGTGCATATTCATTTTTTCCTTTTTCTACAATACTGACATGTTTTGTGCTTTTGCATACAATATTTTACACTTTGACATGCCAAGTGAATAATGTTTATATTACGATTATATTTTTCAATTTAATTATTTTTCCTTGCTTTAAGGTACACCTTAAATATACATTTTGTATCCATTGTAAGTGTAAACATTATGCGGGTATATCATAAACTCTTTTGCTTGATTTATAATTTGATACATTTTAGTCTATAGTTATTTTGGGCTGGCGATCTGAGTGAGTTGTTGCCCCACATATCTTTATGGTGCCTCTGGCGGTATTGTTGTGTACCGGGTTGTGCAGCTCCCTCAAAAATGGTTGAGCTGCATGAGCTATTCGGGGCATGCTAGCCGTCTGCTGGCGCAGGCTTGCTCAGATCGATCTGGTTCTTTCTTCCAAAGACCAGTCCAGTAAATTACTCTGCATTTGTTTACACCAACTTATTAATTTATTATTGTATTATCTGGACTATAAAAGAGACTAAGACCCCCGAGTTTGTTTCGACATTTCTTCTCAGGGCAGTCAGTTAGGAAATGTCGACTTCATCTAGTTTAGGATGACATTGTAAAAGTGATTTATATAGTCCTACTTGCAAGAATAAACTATTTCATTTCATTTCATTTCATTTGGATTCAGAAATACTTCTACTGGCAGCTGATTCCAAAACGTAGTCTGTGACAAAAAGTGCATTTAAAAACACTGTAACGTGGAACGCTAAACGTCAAATTGATACGGATATTCTAGATACGTTTACAATTTAGAAACCTAGGATATTTGCAATACCATAAACCAATCATCGACTAGATACCTGCTTTAACAATTAATGTCATTCTCTTATTACACCCAACGTCACTGCGAATATTTTAATTAGAGCACTAATTATAACTGTCGAAATTCAATTAAATTTAAACTCAATCATGTTATATTAATCAAGGACGTACAATGATTGAAATTATATTCATAATGAAACTAATGTGATTAACTATTGTATTATGGCTGCTTGGTATTGTGTAACACTTAGATTCAGTTATTATCAGATTTCGTAATGCGAACAGGCATTTGAAGTTATAGTAGAGAAAGCGTCTGTAATAATATGATATGTTTATTAAAGTGTTGAGTTGACAACACGCTAATACTGATCTACAATGATATGGAATGAGTTTGATGTAAGTTCTTAACTTTTCCTATATATCCCATGATATTTTAAAGTGCTAGTACTCTGGTCAATTGTTTGAATTTCAAATACTAAAATGTAAAGATCAAAAAAAGAAAATATGCACAATTCCTATAACAGATGATCGGTTAGACAGATTTAGGAAAAATTTGATATTTAAAATGCCATTTTTGCGTATAGACCACAAGCCCATGAACAAAAAATACCTGTGAAATGACCCAACGTGAATTACGCTTAGAAGGCTGTTACTATATCTGAAAATAACTCTGAGCACTATGCCGTCATTTCTGAGCGGTACATGTGAGTACGTGAGTGAATGGAATTTCTCAGGTACCAATGAGGAATTTCGACTAATTATTAATGTACGGCTTTGTTATAAGTGTATAGATGATTAAAAATAAATGTCGAAAAACGTAGTGCCGTACTAAACGTACGGCATTGGTGTAATTCCTTTTGGACACATATACAGATACTTTACCCGTAAACGCCGTACTTAATTCCAGCGGAGCGGTCG